CCCCTCTATTGATACTGTGTACAACATTCTCATAAGTGATGAGAAACAGAGACAAGTGTCATCTACCTCTCAGTTTACCTTAGAATCTACTTCTCTTAATGCTGGTACTTCTAAACCTGCTTATGCACCTCGGGTGAATTTTGAATCATCAAAGTCTCTTATTTGCAAATATTGCAAAAAATCTAGACTAATAGCATTGAAAAGTGATGCAAGCTCCATGACTTTCCACCCAATTTCAAATTCACCAAAAATGCAGCACCCCGAAGAGCATCTGCCAATGCTGCTATTGAGACCTCCTCTGCCTCAGTCTCTTCTAGCCCTAGTCCTAGTACTGTACTTGCAAATGATGCATCTGATCAGCACTCTGGAGTGCCAGGGCTGCCAAGGAACAATATTCTCAACTGATATTGCTTCTACAACAATCTCATATTAGCCAGATCCTTCTCATTCTCTTATGGCTTGTGCTCATTTTACTGGTAGGATTGCTACTCACAGTGTGTTACTTAAACCTACTTTATTTTCACAAGTAGATAGTTCAGCTTGGATTCTTGACTCTGGGGAATCTGATTATATGACTTCTCAAAAGTCTCTTCTCTTTAATCTACAATCTCTTACTATTCCTTGCCTTATATCTCTTCCTAATGGATATAAAGTTAAGGTAACACTTACTGGATCTTTAACTTTGTTTTCCAATTTCACTCTTCACAATGTCCTCTATGTTCCAACTTTCGAGTATAACCTTATTTCTGTTTATCAGCTAGTTGCACAATTGATGGCATTGCTTAGTTTTCTAAGGCTGTGTGTGTCTTACAGGGCCCTTCTCTGAAGAAGCCACTGGTTCTTGGTAAACTGGACAAAGGGTTATACAAGCTAGACATTTCTCAGTCAACATTCATGCCATGTTCATCTCATTCTGTTGTTTCTTTTCCTATTATTGATGTGTGTTCACTTGATTCTGTTTTTCCTGTTGATCCTGTTTGTAATTCATCTCATTCCACTATTAATAAATGGATGTTCTTTGGCATTTTAGACTAGGCCATGTACCATTTTCTAAGATGAAACATATTTTTGATATTAGCTCTTGCCTTTCTCCTAAGCAATCCTTCCCTTGTTCTATATGTCCCTTGGCTAGGCAAACTAGGTTACCTTTCCCTGATAGTTCCATTCAAGCTTCCTCCCCATTTCAACTAATTCATGTTGATACTTGGGGTCCTTACCATTCCCTCATATCAGGTTGTGTCAGGTACTTCCTCACTATAATTGATGACTACACTAGGGCTACTTGGACCCATCTTCATGGTTCCAAAAGCAATGCTTTTGACCTCCTTAAGGCTTTCATAGCCATGGTAGATACCCATTTTTCTTTTAGGTTCAAACTGTTAGGAGTGACAATGCTTTAGAGTTAGGCTCCTCTACTTCTGGTTCCAAATTCTTTGATGAGAAAGGCATCATCCACCAGACTTCTTGTCCACACACTCCTCAATAAAATGGTGTAGTTGAAAGGAAACATAGACACTTGCTTGACACTGCAAGAGCTTTGCTTTTTCAATCCAGCTTGCCTACTTCTTTCTGGGATGATTGCATTCTCACTGCCACTTATCTTATCAATAGGTTCCCTTCACCACTTCTCCATCACAATAGCCCCTTTGAACTCCTCTATGGGAAGCCTCTTTCCTATAGCCATCTGAGATCTTTTGGATGTCTATGTTATGCCACTGTTCCTAAGGTCCATAGAGATAAATTTGGGGATAGGTCTGTCCCATGGGTTTTTTTAGGCTACCCCCTTGCTAAAAAAAGCTATAAGTTGTATAATCTTGCTTCCAAATCTTCATTTGTATCCAGAGATGTTATTTTTCATGAGACCATATTTTCTTTTGCCCAGCCGTCCTCCACTCCTTCTACTATTTTTCCTTCCCAGTCCTCTCCTGTTGATGTTTTTCCTTCTGCAACTCCTTCCTTCCCTTCTTCTAGTGAGACAAGTGATGAGGTTTTTCCCTCATCTTCTCCTTCACCTTTACCTCATCCTGGTGATATTTCTCCTTCTTCCTCTTCTCCCTCTTCTGCTGCTTTGCCCTCTTCTTCTCCTACTCCCTCCATTTCTCCCCCCCTTGCCAGGAGGTCCTCCAGACCTCACAATATCCCCGGCTACCTCCAGAACTATGTTTGTTCTTTCCCAACTTGTTCTAGGCCTACTGCTTCCTTATCAGCTACTAGTGCTCTTTATATCTTTGAACCTCAGTCTTACTCCCAAGCTGCCCCTATCCCTAAATGGTAGAAAGTTATGAGGCAGGAATTTGAGGCTTTGGAAGCCAATGGCACATGGTCTGTCATGCCTTTGCCTCTTGGCAAAAAACCTATTAGGTGTAAGTGGGTTTACAAGATTAAGTATAAGGCTGATGACAGTTTTGAGTGGTTTAAAGGTAGATTAGTGGTTAGGGGGACACTCAGGTAGATGGTGTTGATTTCCAAGAGACTTTCTCTCCTATTGTCAAGATCTCCACCATTAAAACTTCTGTTGCTCTTGCTGTTAAAAGATAGTGGCCCATGTTTCAGCTTGATGTCAATAATGCATTCTTGCATGGGGAATGAGATGAGGAAGTTTTCATGAAGCTTTCTCCTGGTTATTTTGTTCCCTCTTCATCTGGTTCTGATCAATTGGTGTGCAAGCTTCAAAAGTCCCTTTATGGCCTAAGACAAGCTTCAAGGCAGTGGTATGTTAAGCTTTCTCAAGCCCTCACATATAGATGCTATTTTTCTTCTCTCAATGACTACTCCCTCTTCATTAAGGGTTCTGGTACTTCTCTTGTGATATTGGTCATTTATGTGGATGACATTGTGATCATTGGGGTTGGTTCTTCTGAAATTTCTATTGTTAAGTCCTTTCTTCATGCTTAGTTCAAGATTAAGGATTTGGGGTGCCTTAACTATTTTTTG